ACAGAGTACCGTATGTGGCCTGCGGGCCTGGAGTTTGAGACCCCTGTCATAGATGGTGTCACTGATGGGCTTACCTGAGCAGGTAACAATCAGGATGAAGGAAGAGGAAGTTGATGATACACACTCCCTCAGAGCAGATCCAGACTGAACACAGTCAGAGCTGATCCACCACACAGGTCTGTCTGAGGACTCCTTTCTCTGTCCTACAGAAACAGCAGAGCCACAGTCCAGCTCTCTACAGACACCAGCTGCTGTCTTCAGGGTCCAGACAGAGACACTCCCTGGTCTCCAGTCTCCCTCATGTTTCACCTCCAGTGTTCCTGCACAGCGACTGGCTTCTCTGGCCAACCTGACATCATCAGGCTCTGAACAGAAACCAGAGAGTCATCAGTAAAACAATAAAGTGAGTTTCATCAGAACAGAAATGAAGCAAATCAAAGCTGCAGCTCCTCTTCTACCTGAGCAGGTGAGTCCAACAGCTTTTCCAGGTGAGCAGGTGTTTCTAGCTGAGCCTGAGCTTCTACAGTCCAGGAGAGCAGACTCATGGCCTCCACACTGGAACTCTTTGGTCCACATCGGAGCCTCCACTTCTCCATAGAGCGCCCCCTGGAGGACTGAAGGAGCCCCACAGCCAAGCTCCCTACAGACCACCTCTGCATCCTGCTGGTCAAAGTCAGCTTCACACACTGAGGACCACCTTTGGTTAGACTGGTTAGACTGGTTAGACTTCACCTCCAGTCTGCCTGAGCACAGACTAGTCCCGTCCAGCAGCCTGACAGAGTCTGGAGGGATAATAGAAGATGAAATAGAGATAAAGACAGCAGACACAAAAGAAAAACATGTCATGAAACAACAATTCAGTGATTCAAGGTGGACTCAGCACAACTCCAACATCAGTTCATCATTAACAACAGAACACATCTTTCTACCAGCACAGACTGCAGCAAGTTCACCAGCACATTTCCATTTAATACTCTGTCACACTTGTTCTCCACGTCTGAACACTTTCAACATGTTTCCAAACAACAGCACAACATCATCATCTGCAGATTTCTCTGCTCTGTTCCTTCTGCTCAGCTACTCCACAATCTTTGCTCTCCACACAAACAAGTTCAACACTTTTCATTCTGTCTTAATGTTCTAAGAAGATCTGGAACCCAGAAGAAAAAGCTGCTTAAAAATGCTCCAACAACTCTAACAGGGATAGGGGCTGGACTCTCTCCTTTGAAGGAGCTGCCAGGGTGGAGGACGCCACGTGGGTGTGGAGATACTGACGAGCCCCCGACTGAGCTCAGCTGCTCAACCTGGGTACATTACTGTCATACGTGATGTCATAGATGATGTCACTGATGGGCTTACCTGAGCAGGTGACATCCAGGATGTAGTAAGAGGAAATTGATGATACACACTCCCTCAGAGCAGATATAGACTGAACACAGTCAGACCAGATCCACCACACAGGTCTGTCTGAGGACTCCTCTCTCTTTCCTACAGAAACAGCAGAGCCACAGTCCAGCTCTCTACAGACACCAGCTGCTGTCTTCAGGGTCCAGTAAGAGATACCCACTGGTCTCCAGTCTCCCTGATGTTTCACCTCCAGTGTTCCTGCGCAGTAACTGGCTCCTCCCACCAACCTCACTGGCTCTGCACAGAAAAAAAGAGAGTCATTAGTAAAATAATGTAATTAAAACACACAATAACCAATACTCTGTCTCACTTTGCAACGTTCCATACTCACACTTAGTATTTTGAGTGCATAAGTGTGTTCACACTGACTAGTAAAAATGCAGCACACTATGACGATGGTGTTCTCATGACTGTCAAAATGCTGGACATCTCTCACCCCCAGTGGTTTCCATCTTCCATAAACTCCTGGATTTTTATAGCTCCTGTGTTTCTGCATGTTTTCTGCTCATGCTCAAAACTTTCTGCACATTAACAATCTCTCACACATATCTGTGTTCTCTGACATTTGCAGAATAATATTTTGAGTCATAATATTAAAAAATTAGAAATAAAATCGGTATCTGATAAGAATGAAGTTATAATATTTTAACAAAATCTACCTGCCCCTCTGCTGTGCATTATCCTGCGTTATTGCTCTGATGATATGATCGTAGGTTTCCCCCTTTAGACCGTGTGACTGACAAAGAGCCCATCTGGGACTGTACTGGATGAGACGAGCGGACTGCTCTTCATCAGAGGTAGAAAACCCGAAACTGAAAACACTTGTGATCAGACAGAAATATCCCCAAAATCCACATCAAATCCACACACATGTTCACTTCGGCACCTCTGATAAAGTGCAGCTCACAGCCGCTTCAGAGAGAATTAAGCATCAAACAGAGCAAAGTGCCTCACAGCGAGGGGGACAGAGACAGCAGGTGTCTGTGTCGCAGTCAGGTGTGTCATGTGATTGTCTCACTACTTTGCACCGACTGTTAACAGTTTTTGTAGCAAGTATATTGATTAGAAAGTGACTGACTGAACATTTATATTTAAATGTTTTGATTGCAATTTTGATAGAGACAATTCAGTTGTTGTGGACAAGCCCTGGAGCTGAGTAACGGTGGGGGGGTCACATTGCGTGAAAATGCAGCAATATTATTGCAAGTAGCCTCCGTTCTTTGAAGACCTGCAAGACAGGCTGCGTCATGGGGATTATTGCATATTAATATGGAAAATATTTGTGTTGCTGTTGTTGAGTTACATTCAGGGCTACAGTCAAAACATCCAGGGATAAAGCCCCGGAAAAATGACCTGGCAACACTGATGCGTAAATGTAGAAGTACGTTCATTTTTTTCATATTTTATCAAATTTAACTGAAGTCAAGTGAGCAAACAAGCCAGCAGATATTATGGCTGGTTACAATCACGGTCAAATTCTGGCGATGATGATCTGGAGCCTTATTTATAAATGGTGCGTACATATAAAACAGGGCTGCGTACGTTAATTCCCAAGCAAAGGTTGTGATCTATTAAAAACAAAATTGACAGTCCTCCACGCAAACTTTGAGGCATGCTTACGCACACAAACTGGAGAAATGAGAAACGTTGACTCACATGCAGAAGGATGAAACGGTTTGAAATTAATACTATTGTGTAAAATACATAGAAAAATTGCCTCTAAGTATTATAGGCTTAAAGCCTTTCTGAATAAACAGACACCCTTTTTATTGATTTTCCCATAAGTGAGCAATAAAAAACATAATTTAAAATAATTTGCAAGGTACACAAAAACAACCATTATTTAGGATAATAACCACAAACAGAGATATTTGTTTCTGCAAAGAACACCTAATATGATTTACTGTTTAATTGGGAATCATATTAATTAATACTTGCATGCAGTGAGATTTATTCTCATAAATAAGGTCAACGGAGGAAAAATTACATTTAAATTGATGCTATTTTCAGTGCGTCAGTCGAGCAAATACGAGTAGTTTCATATATTGTTATCACATGTTCATAGCCTTATCGAGCCAAATGCTGTGCATGTGTGGATGTGATGCACTGGTTGTAAAAACACGTTATGGAAAATATAATACTATTTTTTAAGGAAATCTTTTAGTGTACTGCTTATGTCATATTTCATTTAACTCATCGGCAGCCTCATTAATTGACCCGTCGCTAAGCCACACCCCCTTAGTTACTGTTGCTGTGTCTGGCAAACTGTCGGACCTGTCGGACTTTTATCACTGCTTCTGTCTATTACTGCACTCCCTGGAGTATTATTGTCTAATTTTTGTAACATTTATAGCAATTGTAAGTCGCTTTGGATAAAAGCGTCAGCTAAATGAATAAATGTAAAATTAAACCACCATATTATTAGTGACTTTTGTGAATCAACACTGTTCCTGTACAGCTGGATAGATCTCTGTCCACTATTACAACCATTAAAAAGCAAAAGCGGTAGGTCTAAATAATGTTACATTTAGTAGTAAGTTAGCTAGCGTTAGCTAACTTAGATTACATTAGGAACAATCCACAGCTGACATTTTTCTGGATTGCTTTACTACTGCTACTATACTTCTCCTTTGTACCTCTCTGGGTAGCAACTGTAAATATTACTATTACTAAGTAACCCAGGAACAGCGTTTGACCAAAAAAAGTCAGCAGAAAAAGCTAGAAAACAACTCCTTTTGCACAAAAGTCCTATACTGCACTGTGATTGGCCAGCTTGCAAATCCGACGTGGCTTAGCAAAGGGTGAGTTGACACACAGTTCAAATCAAAGCTGCAGCTCCTCTTCTACCTGAGCAGGTGAGTCCAACAGCTTTTCCAGGTGAGCAGGTGTTTCTAGCTGAGCCTGAGCTTCTACAGTCCAGGAGAGCAGACTCATGGCCTCCACACTGGAACTCTTTGGTCCACATCGGAGCCTCCACTTCTCCATAGAGCGCCCCCTGGAGGACTGAAGGAGCCCCACAGCCAAGCTCCCTACAGACCACCTCTGCATCCTGCTGGTCAAAGTCAGCTTCACACACTGAGGACCACCTCTGGTTAGACTTCACCTCCAGTCTGCCTGAGCACAGACTAGTCCCGTCCAGCAGCCTGACAGAGTCTGGAGAAATAGAAGATGAAATAGAGATAAAGACAGCAGACACAAAAGAAAAACATGTCATGAAACAACAATTCAGTGATTCAAGGTGGACTCAGCACAACTCCAACATCAGTTCATCATTAACAACAGAACACATCTTTCTACCAGCACAGACTGCAGCAAGTTCACCAGCACATTTCCATTTAATACTCTGTCACACTGAGGGGTTTACCTGAGCAAGCGAGGTCCAGGATGGAGGAAGAGGAATCTGATTCTACACATTTCCTCAGAGCAGATCCAGACTGAACACAGACAGACCTGATCCACCACACAGGTCTGTCTGAGGACTCCTCTCTCTCTGCTACAGAAACAGCAGAGCCACAGTCCAGCTCTCTGCAGACACCAGCTGCTGTCTTCAGGGTCCAGCCAGAGCCACTCACTGGTCTCCAGTCTCCCTGTTTCACCTCCAGTGTTCCTGCACAGCGACTGGCTCCTCCCACCAACCTGACATCATCAGGCTCTGAACAGAAACAAGAAAGTCAACAATAAAGAAGTGATTTCAAGAGATTAAACTAAAACATGACTGCTGATTCTGCTCTTGTGATTCTTTCTTTCTCTCTTTACCTGTTGAGGTGTGTTGTCCTTCAGTCTGGAGTCCTGTGATTGGAGCACAGCGGTGGACAGAAAAAACACTCAGGTTGTTTTGTTTAGAAATTTCTATCAGCTCAGAAACATCTCAGTGAACTCTCTCTGGAGTCATTTTGTGAACTGAACATGTGAATACACAAAAAACACAAGCCAGCAGACTGGTTTATATAGTGTCACAAGTCAGTAAAGGTTATGTCAATAATCAAGTGTGAGTGTTGTCAGACAGAATAAACCAAAAAGCAAGCGAGCGGGCAACCAAACTGCGCTCAGCAGCTTGGTTGTCAGTAAACACGGCATGAACAGGTGAGAACACAGCCTCATTAGCTGACTCAGCCCCGAGGTGACAAGAGCCAAACCGGCAAGAAAAACTTCGTACTGTGTTCCCAGTGGTCATACTGGCCTCCGTCAGTCTTGGAGTCTGCGTGACGGGGTGGGGGAGTGACCACATTCAACTACCAGCTACACACCGATCAATAGACAGCTCCCTCACTAGCTGTGTGTTTTTACAGGAAACACATTAATAGCAAAGAGCAGTCCAATGGAAACTTTATGCTAGAGAAAGTAATCTCTATGTGTAATCCCCATTTTTACAAAATGCACCTGTAATCTGATTATGTCTTTATTTTCTGAACTGTAAGGGAATACATTGACTTTATTTTTGTATCCTGATTACGTAACGCCGTTACATGTAATCTGTTATTCCCCAACCCTGTGAAAGATGCATTACCACAACCACCACCACGGTAAAAGAGCTTTTTGCTGAGGGGAAATGAAATAAAGTTGAACTTATTTAAAAAATCCAAAAGATCCGGGGCTTTTGACAAAAAATTCGGGGCTTAAGCCTAATTAGCCAAGAGTCCAAGACTATACACGCATGCGTGAAAATGAACAAATTACTCACTACTGAATGAATCCCTCGTTCCTCCTGAGTCACATACAAGATTAGGTTAATAACCTTTATCACAGTCAGTATGTCAGGTGCACGTGTCCAGCAGCAATGACCATAAATAAAATAAATGTTGACATCGGAAGGCTGCCATGTTGGATAAACTTTTTACACAGGAGAGATTTTCTAGGTTTTTTTTAACTCTAGCTTCTGCATTCTGAACAAGCTGAAGACTTTGGTAACAGTTGAGGAAACCAGAGAGAAGGACATTACAATATCCAAGATACAAATTTATGGATTACAACTTCAGCATCACACAGTGATAATGGTGGATTTTGGCAATGTTACTTAAAAAAAAAAAGAATGCTGTCTGAGATTACCTCGTGGTAACATCTATCTTTACATAAACAGCAAGAACACACATGTAATCACCACAAAGGTAGGTGTGTGATGAGGCACTTAGCTAACAAGGCAAGATTCGAGATTGGGTTCACGAGATTGAGACGAGGACACTATTTTTAAGAAATCTTCAATGCTAAATTATATGAAAATCTTAATCATCAAACACTTAATTTCCCGCATTCTGGTGAAGTTTTCTGTTCCAATTTATGGTGGAAATATTTTTATTTATGTAAAGGAAAACAAAATGCAAACTATAACAGAATCTAATGCTTAAGCTCAAATACAACTGCAAAAGATCAGTAAGTGCCATGGCCATATATGGACCTCAGTAAGGAATAGACCATATTGACCATGTAAACTATATTGAGAGATAAAACTGTTAATATATAAACTCTTACTGGAAAGCAATCTAATATTCAGTATTGCTAACTTCAGGTAATCTGAGAAGGAGGTTGCAGGCTTGGAATTCATCAGGCTGACTTGCTGTGGTTAGTATTGCCTAGGGAGGTGGTAATAGGGCCTCTTAACCACAAGGTGGAGCTAGTGTGATTAGTAGGAAAGGGAGTTCTAGCAGTCTTTCAAAATGGAAGGGGGAGTAAGTTGGTGATAGTGTACAGTGCATGGCTGCCAATAGTGGCCACAAGAGGGAGAAAAGCATAGCAAAGGGTAACAGGTGCAGAAGATGTTGCAAATAAACCGCCAGCATGCGACTACCAAACCTGCTTGGATGAAGACTATCTCGTGAGAAGAATGAGGGATGGTCCCAGAATAAGTACATTCCATAAAACCAATGTTTTGGGTGCAGTAGAAAGCCTGGAGCCAGGTGTGAAGGCTGAGGATTCTGCTAAAACATGGAAATTGGGCCATAGATGCAGACTTTCCACTACTGGTGAGCAGTTCAAAGAGGCAGAGAAAGTTTCTGTACGTGTGCTCGGATTGATGGCATGTGGTGTCATTTAAAATTATGTGGATTATAATCCTCCTGATGGTTGTCGGGAATAAAGCCAGGAGTTTGTGGAGTTTATTAATGATATAGGGAGTTGTGGCACTGGGAAAACAGTGTGTGACTGCATTAGAGGAGGAAAAGTTCCTCACTATGGAATCGATCACTGAAGTTGGGTGGATGAGAGTGGAGTGGATACAGTGGGGGGTAGATGCGAATGGCGTGTTGCTGCAGCTGTAGGACAAGACAAGGCAAGGCATGTTTATTTGTATAGCACATTTCAACAACAAGGCAATTCTAAGTGCTTTACATAAAACATAAAAGCAACACAGGGAAAGTGAAAAAAACTCCATATTAAAATATAATTTTTAAAGGGTAAAACAGGAAATTGAAACAGGACAGTTTTAAAAAAGAAAAGAACTGTACATAAAGTGGAGCCAGATGCCCCACAGCCAGATGCAGCGGGGGAGCATGCTCCTAAGTAGTGGAATTTCCTGCTGACTTCCGACCATAGAGACCACCAGAGCTTCTCCTAGCCACAGAGCATTTAGCCCACACACCCAAATAGGCCAGTTAATCCAGCAGCAATGGAAGGCACTCCGGCAGCATTTGTGTCCCGTCGAGATGGCGGACAGGTTAAGAATATTTAAAATCCATGCATCTGATAACAAAAAGTTTTAACCATGTAAAAATATCTTAAATATATCAGTAAACAAGAGCTTTTAAGTGAGATTAGTAATGCTGAGGTCGGTGAATTTTATGAGTAGACTTTCTGTGACATTCATTACCTGCAGCAGGGGCACATATAGATGAAAAGACAAGTCAATAATGATGGTCAATGATGATTAAGTAGGGTTGATCACCATACTGGCCAACCACCAGACATCACAGCCTAAATTGGGAGACCAAACTACTGGGGATGTCAATTCAACTGGGAATATTCCCCCCAGAAAATGTGTGTCATCCCAGAGACTGTTGTTTGCATTCTAGTGAATTTATGAAGTAATTTTGTTGCTGAAATGCAGGGGAAAACATATATCAAGGGGGGAGTCCAGAAACATTAGAGCATCACACATTTCCTGCATTCTGGAGAATGTCTGCATCAATTTATGAAAATGTCAAAATTTAGGAATGACATTTCAAAATCTAAAAATATAACAGAATATTATGCCATTGGTCCACTTTCTGCAAAAGAAGAGTCACATGACACACAGAGCCTGATGAAGCTAACAAAGATAACTACCCTGATGAAACCCATTATCTCTGATTGGGGATTTAGGTTTGGTCAAGCCAGTTAAAGCAAAGAAAAAGTAAAGTTGCCATGATTATTTTTTTAATGTTTTTATTATAGAGAAATATTTAACTGTTTATATAGTTAAATGATTCATTTTTGAAAGAAGCAAAAAATCTTAAACAAAAACTCATCAGCTGAAAGAGTGGGGATAGACAGTCCACTGCAGTATATGGAGGTCACCTCTTCGACAGGTAGACATCGCTCAGGGATGTAAGTACCCTCTTGGCAATTTCTTTAAAATATTTAAAATGCACATTTGCAGTAATATTATTAGAGCTTAAAAGTAGATTATACAATTTTTGCGGAGTGGGAACATAGTCCACAGTTTGTAAGATGTGTGTGTGATGTTGGTGGGTGTGTGAGAGGCACTGAAACTAAAGAGAAATTAAATGTGAAATATGCAGTAAATATCTCTCCTGATGTTTAGAGATGTTGAAATAATATTCTTCTTAAATCTGTGAGTGCGATTAATTTTGCATGAGGTTGCTTAAAGAAACAGTCTGACACTACAAGTCATTTCATTTGCACACAAGTCCATGTTTTATAATTTTTTATTGATAGTTTTATTATAAGCCACAATCTTAACTTCCTGTTTAACTGAGACTTGATTACACCAAGATACAATCAGTTCATGGTCTTGGTGTACAGAGCATAAGAAAGGAGCGGGAGCTGCCATTTTGTTTAATGTTCTTTTGAATCTATGGCTGAAGCAGAATTCCTCTCTTCCAGCTATATTTCTAAATATCTGCTGGCCACCTAAATACAAGTGAACATGTGCACATATTTCAGTGTTTACACCCTAAACAGCCTTTCATATTGTTCTCTGATTTTCTCCCAGATTCAATAAAGAGATCTGAATTCTAACACATGCTGTTTAAAGTCCTACCTGAGCTCCACAGCAGCAGCAGCACCAACAGGTGATCCATGTCCAGGTAGACCGTCTCTCTGGCCGTCCGCCTGCTCTCTGCTCTGATCATCATGTGCTGTCCTCAGTGTATATCTGCGTACAGGAAGAGGTGGAGCTTTACTGGAACACAGCTCATTCAGCTGTCTTTAGTTTCAGTCAAGAGTCCTCGTCTGAGTCTCTGACACAGGATCAGGGTTTTCTGCCGCCCATGTTTCCAGTTTGACCAGTGGACCGGACAGTGGTTTGATTGTCCAGTCTGAGTCCAGTTCTCCCTTTGACCTGTGTGTTTGTGTGTTTCTTTTCTGAACAGCAGAAGTGTTTAACTCCAGAAGGACAAAGAATCAATGTGGAGATTGTCCTGAGCTGACGTTAGTCCCAGTCTGAAGTCTTCTCCCAGTCCGGCTCTGACTGGTTTCCAGTTGGACAGGAAACTGTCTCTCAGATGCTTCACGTCAAACTGTCGACTTCATGTCAGTTAAACTTCAACATGTTGCTGTAAAACGTGGATTACAGGAAATGTTGTTTCCTCTGCTTCACTTCCAAGTTAAAGATGGTGTGAGCCAGTTTTAAACTGGTGTGAAACCAGTTTTAAACTGGTGTTAAATTGTTTTAAACTGGCTCTGGTCCCTGTTGGCTCAGCATACTGGTGTTGTCCCTGTCTGAACTTCATTTTGTCCTTTAGAGATGATTTCGACACTCTGTGGTCTGTAGTTATCCGCTCTGATCTGATGAACTTTAATTTGATAGGAAGCTGCTGACTGATTACTGGACTGTGTTACCATGACAACCAGAGCAGGCTGAGGCGTTGATTAAAGTGGTCAGCGTCTTCTTATTCTTCCTGCTAGATGTGTCTGAGTTCAGTGTTTCAGTGTGGACATCTCCTTGCTGACTATAGTCTGTGGAAGTGCTGCTGCTTTGCTTTCTGTCACTGTGACTGTGTCTCACTCACTTCTATGACCTCATGTATCAGGGTATCATTGGATAATTTATCCTTGCTTTTTGGAACCAGCAGAGGTCACTCTACCCCCAGCTGAGGCGCCCAGAGGTTCTGACTTGTGTTTATAAGATGACATGAAAACAGTCTCTAGAATCTGCCCCACACTGCAGTGTTTCCCATTTGATTTATTTGTGGCGACACACCACATCAACGCTGACCGCCACATACTATATACTATTTAATAAACAACTGTTTTGACTGTTTACATTCAAGTATAAACATGAATTATTTAACTAGTTAGAAACCTGCGCAATGGCTGCAGTTAATTTGTTTGCAACTTACTGTTTTTCACATGCACATATAAAACCATGTCGTCAGCATACATTTGTATGTTGACAGAAGGACAGGCTAAGGACAGGTTGTTAACCCCTTGACGCCGATTGAGACAGACTGCAAGCTAAGAGATAGCACGTGGATTCCCCCAATGCCTGTTGGTGCATATTCAATACGTATCTAGGAACCTTTTGCGAGCCCTGGTCTCGTTTATGCCTGTTGTCGCTAATTTGCATCATACCTGCACATACCTGAATTTATATATTTTCCATGTTCTATAGACAAATTAACAATCTTCACTTAATTTAACAACAGCTTGAAAGCAAATGAAAACACAAATAATTTTTTGATTGTAAAAAAATTCAGGCGTTAAGGGTTAATATACAAGCTAAACAAAATTGGGACTAGCATTGACCATTGGGGAACGCCAATATCACAGTTTAGCTATGTAGAATGAGTATTGCTATGTATAGGCTGTGAGACACCTAAATAACCATAGCATCATTATCTGACGTGATTTTCTTACAGGTATTGTATTACACCTTAATGTTACTTAGCTAGCTAGCTAGCTACTACAAATGGTTGCTGCTAAAATACCCATCAAGGGGAGTAATTGAATTTATTTCTGCAGTAGTTTTTGAGATAATGTCTTTTTTTTCTGTAGGAGTACTAACACATCATCAAACCATGACATCACCTGCAAAGTTATTAGTTTTACCTGTGTCTTGTTAGCTGCCCCTCTCTTGTATAGACATAGTCCGTCTACTTCCCTTGTCTTTTGCCAGTTCGTCTTTGTCTTTCCATGAAGAGTAACATACCAGCCCTTTCTCTGTGTTGTCCTGTGTCTTGTTTTTTCTGCCTTTTGTATTGGAGCAGTCTGTCTGCCCCCCTTAGAATTAGTTTGCCTTTGTTTTGGCCTCTACCCTTGTCATAAGCCAGTGTACTTTTATTATATTCTAATAAAACTATTGAACTGAACCAGTTCTGCCCCATTGTCTGCATTTTGGGTCCAGTGCCTTGTTTTCCTGTTTACTCACTTGTACTGACTGAAAGCACATTAGAGCTGGAACTCAAATCCCAGATGACACAATATTCATAATGTCAGCAGATCTTTATTGTTTGCAGGTCAGAGCATCATCAGCATTACACAGGTGTGACTGAGGAGAGACAGTCTGTCCTCAGCTCTTATAGGACTTTGATACAACACACATTAACTGTAATCTTCTTTATTATTGAGAAAGATATTAAGATATATTATTAACACTTTCAGAACACAGGAAGAGGTTACAACCCCCCTCCAGGCCAAACTCCTTTATAATGAGTTCACTTTAGTTTCCCAACAGCTTCAACATTGTGACATCATGGTGGATATATAAGACACGTCTATTCATACAAGCACAAACACAATCATAGTGGAGAAAACATGATTAGAAGAGAAAACTAACAGCTGTTCAACACCAAATAAATCTGCTGCCATGATTCAGCACTGATGATAATCTGCACACTGAACTCTTAAACTATTGGTGAGCAAACATGGAAGTACAAGAAGAGCAGCAGTCATTCCACACCACAGAGGGCGCTGTTTCCAGGAAGTGCACATCTGACATTTAAAAGGTGATTACATTTGAATTTCCTGATGAACTTATGACATCATCATCACGCTTCATAGAACTAGAATGAAAAAGCTTTTGTGATGTTTAAACATCTGGATCAACAGTGTAGAGCTTGTTTTCTACACAGCTGCTGCTCACACTGATGGTGTTCACCTGCTACATCACAGATAGTTTACCGAATCTGTACTGCAGAGCTGCTCTTGTTCCTTCATCCTCTCGACTCTTCATCTCTTCCAGTTTCTGGACCTTCTCTGCGTCTCCTTTCTCCTTCATCTTCTCAATCAGGAAGTCCAAGTGGACATGAGTGGACAGTGAATCAACATTCAGGGCGATCTGATCCAGTTTGACAATAAGCTCGAAGGACTTTTCCAACAATTGATCTTTGTCCTTCTGAAGTTTTTCCATTCTCTTTTCTAAAGTTCCCAAAAGGCTTGTTGTCTCCTCACATCCTGCTTTACCTCTTTCATAGTTGTTTTTCACATCTTTTAGGTTCTTCTGAACTTTCCTTGTCTTGGTCACATAGATCCAGTTTTCTTTCACATGATCTGATACAGGACACTTCCTGGTACATGAAGTGCAGCAGCCATCTTTCATGACCTCACAGCTTTCTGGACTTCGGGCCCATGTGCATCCAGGATAGTGACAGTTCTCCTCACAGACTGTACAGCTGGTAGCTCCTTCATAAAACAACACTCCAATCCCACCTCTGATACTTCCTTTAACTTTGTAGACCACGTCAACTTCTACAGTGAACATCTCATTTCTCTTCATCTCTTCTTTATGTTTCTTCAGAGCTTCCTGAGTCTGTTGGATTTCTCTCTGTTGTATTTCAATGAGCTCAACTCTCTCTTTCAGGTTTTGGATGCAGGCTGTCAGTCTGATTCGTATCTTCAACACTTCAGTAGTTGTCTTCAGTTTCTGAGGTGCAGTTTTTTCCAGAAACTCTGTGAACTGACTCATTCCTTCTATTGTTAAGTTCCATGCACTTTTAAAAAAAGCTTATCCTTTTGAATTCTCTGTTTACTCTGGCAGTTATTGAACATAAAATGAATAGGCTCATTGTCCTTATCTTTGGCTATCTTAATGTTTGCAGCATCAAGAGCTTTCAGAACATTTTCAGGTATCAGACCATCTGAGTGTGTGATGAGAGCAACAATGTTCTTCTCCATGTCTTTTCCAAACAGAGACACCACTGAATCAAAGATGTACCTCAGTCGGTCACCCAGTCGATTCTCAGTTGCTTTCAGCACCAGACCCACTGCATTAACCTCATGAACTTCTCCTGAGTGGAACCAGTCTAATAATCTCTGACTGATGATGTCATCTTCTTCAATCCCTCTGGTGTCTCCGTATCCAGGAGTATCGATGATGGTCAGAGAGTAGGGCAGAGTTTCACCTTCAAAACCAAAGATCTGGTACACCATCACATCTGATGTCTGACTCTCTGATTCACCTTCCTCCTCGTCCTCTACGATCTGAAACCAGACATCATCCTCCCACTTCACTCCCATGGCGTAGTTGACCAGAGCGTTGACCAGAGTAGATTTTCCTGTTCCTGTTTCACCCACAAGCAAGATGGTTTTGTTTATCTTGTTCACATTTCTTTCACCGAGAGTCATTCTTCTTTGAGATCCAATGTTCTCTTTCTTTGGTCTCAGCTGGTAGACAGCAGGAGGTCCTGATTGGATCAGATCACTTTTGGGAATGATGTCCTTGTATTTGGATGAGCTGTTCCTGAAGAAAGTTACAACCCCAATTCCAATGAAGTCGGGACATTGTGTAAAATGTAAATAAATGCAGAATACATTCATTTGCAAATCCTTTTCAACCTATATTCAATTGAATACACTACAAAAACAAGATATTTATTGTTCAAATGTTTTTTGCAAATATTCACTCACTTTGAATTTGATGCCTGCAACATGTTTCAAAAAAGCTGGGACAGGGGCAACAAAAGACTGGGAAAGTTGAGGAATGCTCAAAAAACACCTGTTTGGAAGTTTCCACAGGTGAACAGGTTAATAGGAAACAGGTGAGTGTCATGATTGGGTATAAAAGGAGCATCCCCAAAAGGCTCAGTCATTCACAAGCAAGGATGGGGTGAGGTTCACCACTTTGTGAACAACTGCGTGAGCAAATAGCCCAACAGTTTAAGCACAACATTTCTCAACGTACAATTGCAAGGAATTTAGGGATTTCATCATCTACGGTCCATAACCTCATCAAAAGATTCAGAGAATCTGAAGAAAACGTAAGCGGCAAGGCCGAAAACCAACATTGAATGCCCGTGACCTTCGATCCCTCAGGCGGCACTGCATTAAAAACCGACATCAATGTATTACCACAAAGGCTCAGGAACACTTCAGGAAACCATTGTCAGTTAACACATCTTGTCGCTACATCAACAAGTACAAGTTAGAACTCTACCATGCAAAGCGAAAGCCATATGTCAACACCCAGAAACGCTGCCGGCTTCTCTGGGCCCGCGCTCCTCTGAGATGGACTGACGCAAAGTGGAAAAGTGTGCTGTAGACTGACGAGTCCACATTTTGGAAATTATAACAGCGTCGCTTCGTAGTAAAAGAGTGTAGGTACTAGACTGGCCTGCCTGCAGTCCAGACCTGTCTCCCATTGAAAATGTGTGGCGCATTATGAAGCGCAAAATACGACAACTGCGACCCCGGACTGTTGAGCAACTGAAGTTGTACATCAAGCAAGAATGGGAAAGAATTCCACCTACAAAGCTTCAACAATTAGTGTCCTCAGTTCCCAAACGCTTACTGAGTGTTGTTAAAAGGAAAGGTGATGTAACACAGCGGTAAACATGCACCTGTCCCAGCTTTTTTGGAACGTGTTGCATATCAAATTCAAAGTGAGTGAATATTTGCAAAAAACAATAAAGTTTATCAGTTTGAACATTAAATATCTTGTCTTTGTGGTGTATTCAATTGAACAAAGGATTTGCAAATTTATATTCTTCTTTTATTTACGTTTCACACAATGTCCCAACTTCATTGGAATTGGGGTTGTAAACGTGAGCTTAAAAACTACTGAACACAAAGTCTTATATATTTTAATTTTTTATATAATCACATCAATCTGAAACTTGCGTGTATGCATTTCAACAAGAAAATAAACACTGAAACTCTGTTATTGTAGAAACGTAGTTTTACTCACGTTGCCATGGTAACAGCTTCTCAGGAGCTTGAGGATGCAGCAGCTTATTCGTTCTCTGGATGAAAGAAAAACAGTGACCTCCTGTCAGCTGTGCTGCTGTTATTAGCAGCTGTCAGCGCATTTACATTCACTCATTTTGCACTTTCATCCAAAGTGACTTACAGTTTAGGAACAACATACAAGCATCAACAGAGCATCAATACAACACGAGAACTACAACTGACAAAACATACTAGTTAGAGCAGCAATAAATACTAGTAAGAGCTGATAGCACATATATCACATCAAAGGGGTAAATACCCAGGGAAAGAAGTGAGTTAAGTGCAATCTATACAAGATATTGTAAGGAGACAGAAGAAGGTTTAGCATGTTTTAGTTGTCTGGATGAAAGAAAAACAACTTATTTACATGTGCATTAACAATTGGATATGTTTGTGTGCAAACATTTATAATATACACTATAAGAGATATGACACTCAATGTCAGTGGGGGTCCTGGGCCTTAAGCAGCTATCCTCCTGATCAGTCCTGAGCTCCATTAGAGCGTCTAAACATGGATTAAAGAAGCTGAAAGTTTAATTATGTTTCCTCTGGAGAGTTTCCTCTCTGCCTTGTTAATCTTATTACTGCAGTTTTTTTGTTTTGTCCCACGATATTTGCTGTGAATATTACTGCATGCATTGAAACGTTTAAATAACTGATAACAGCTAATCTAATTATGAAAGTAAATAGTAAAAACACACATACATCAATGCAACACAATGAAGAAATCCCTCCGTAAGCTACAGGGACCGGTGGAGGGGAGGTAAAATGAACAACTGAGTCTCTAATGTCAGAGGCGCATCACACCATTTCAGCTGCTATAATTGGGACAAAACAAGTTCAATCCGCTGCTGACGTAAAATTATTAGGCTGTAATATCACAGAGCATGCAGCACTGACCTGCTGTGTTTCATGTTGTAATAATATTGCCCATTATGTAGTCTGCACATGTCATTCCAACAGTAGAGTCCTGTGATGACAGCTGTAATTGGTGCTATATGAAATAAAGGGCCCATTTAACGCTGCTTGCAGCTTTAATTAGGGTCCGAGCATGAAACATGCAATGACCCTATTGAAACCCTAGGAATTCTTTCTTTCTTTCAGTTCACCACCCCAACCCGGATCTCTCACACCAAATCCACGTGGATTTGGTGTGAGAGATCCACATGCGACCTCAATTGTAAGTTGCTTTAGATAAAAGCGTCAGCTAAATGAATAAATGTCTGAGTTTGCTCAAATTAAGTAAATTAAAAATAAGATAAGTCTGAAACTTTCATAAATAACTCTAGTACAAAATTACTCAAAATGGGTTTCTGGTCTCTCTTATAGGATAAATGGATTTATGTAAAATGATGTAATAATGTGAACATGTGATAATTTTTAATTAAAAACTGGATTTAAATATGTTTACTTTAGGTTTTGATAACACACCTATAGCTAAGACTCTTCAATCAAGTATCTGTAAAATGGAATTAAAATTGATTTTTCATCACAAACCCGTAATTTTACAGGAAGTTTTCTTTTTTAACCACATTAAAAGGTGTGAACGCCTGTCATTTAACAATAAATTAAATATTACCTTTCTGTAATTTTACCACTTTGGGGCAATTATATACTATGTTAATCTAAATTGTAATCTAAGAATTATAATAAAAGTCAAAAGCTGTGAAATTACAGTAATTATGGCTGTTTTCAATGATCAAAACTGTGTTTTGACAGTTTAACAATACTTGTAGACAATATATACTGATTAAAATAACATTTGATCAATGTTTTTATTTTCCAAATATCCATAATTAAAGGAGATATTTATCAATTAACAAGAAAATCTATGTGAAGTTACAGAACAAATGTTTTTCTACGGTTAACTGTTACTAATTGTACCAAGTTTAAGAAATGTTTTTACAGTTTTAAACTTATTTTTAACAGTTTTTTCTTTTAAATAATAAAAATAATATTTGTGAAAATATTTTTTTTTAAATAACTCAGGAATCTCTGTATGTATATTAGCTATTACCCAGTCATGTTGATGAGGAGGGAGAGAAGGAACAGGAGGAGCAGCAGCAGGAGGAGAAGGTAGATAGCCAGACAAAACAGTGACAGGTACAGGGACCGTGTGTTTTTAGAATTAGAGAATGGATTATTGTTGTCATATTTATTACTGATGTTCTTCTCATGCATATGTAGCTGTACAATCAGTAAAAGTAGAGTCAGGGTCCAGCACAGGGAAACTGGGAGGAGCCTACTCAGATGAGGGATTTGATTTTTATGCACAAACTGTTGTATTTTATGGGAATGTATTGTAGTTTTTAGGAGTATATTTAAGTACTTTAGCCCTCTGACTGACTCAGGTTTGCCTAACCTGGTCTTGTTCAGTGCAGAGCTGCCTTGCTTATGCAAAGTGAGGTGGCAGGTGCCATACCAAAGTTTCTTGAAGGTTTTCAGCGTAATCTGATTCTCTGTATACAACAAAAACACTAATACATTTTATAACAACTGCAAAAAATATTTCAGAAATCAGTTTGCAGTTTTTCCGCATTAAAAGGCCTCATTGTCTCAAGGTCCCCGGCTGAATTTCAGTCCCAGTACATCCCTGATGTCATCAACACTAACAGACATTTTGTATTCAATAATCCTATATGTTGCTGATAAATTACTCAAACAGCAGTGGTGATACGTTTTCTTACTCCTGTTAGGCCTGCAAAGTACTCAGACTTAGTACCATTATCAAATACAAAAGATTTGATATTTTTGTAAATATTCATTACTACATTCAAGAATTTACTATTAATGCCTACTTGTAACAATTTATGCCAGAGTGCATCCCTCCAGACTGTATGAAACGCCTTACTATAGTCAACAAAAGAACCAAACAACTTTCACAACTAACACAATACATATCCAAAATATGCTTCAACAAGAATATATGATCTATAGTACAATAGCTCCTTCAATATCCTCCCATAAGGAGGTTCTGAGCTCCCATGGAAGCAGTAAAATCATGCGTCTGTGGGGGGTCACTAATTCATTTAGATCTTAGAGGCAACCAGGCAGGTGAAGTTCCAGAACAAATCAATTAGGACAGCAAAGAATTTTGACATAACCCTGCTAATTTTGGCTAGTGACAAACAGGCTTAAAACAAAATGCACTTACTGGAAAAATTAACAGCCAACTTCTGAAAAGCTTTTGCAACAGTGCTGGTTATGAGCAGATATGAGCCGCCTCTATTCTGAATGAAAGGTTGCCACGGTAGCGACCTAAAGCCTCCGCTGCTTCCTGGTCTGTGTTCCTCTAAATGGGACCATAATTTACTAAATAAACATCATGCTGTGTTGAAGAAGACTTGAAACTAGTGACTGAGACCATAAACTCATCAGGAAAGTGTTTACTGAGGGAATAAATCAGCTGACAAGTAGAATCATTTTCTCAGTGGCTTCTATACAGTCACACTTCTTTCTGCAGCCGCTGGAGTCGCCCCCTGCTGGCTGCTGGAGAGGACGCAGGTTAATTTACCCCCTGCTGGCTGCTGGAGAGGACGCAGGTTAATTCACCCCCTGCTGGCTGCTGGAGAGGACGCAGGTTAATTCACCCCCTGCTGGCTGCTGGA